CAAAGCAGCAGAGATTTAGTGTTTCAAATGATGTTGAATCTTTTACTTTTTTTCAACTGGAAAGTTTGTATGCATTAAGTGGTGACATACAACTCAAGAGCACAGTGGTGTGAAAACAAAGTGACGGGATCAGAAACTCAAAACTGATCCTTAAAGTTTTACAGCACAATGTGAGGAAAGCAAAACATTGAGAAACAAGACCGCCAGCAACCAACCAGTGTTTTGTTAATCAAGTCCACACACACACACACACACACACACACACACACACACACACACACACACACACACACACACACACACACGTAAAGGCCATTAGTACTTTTACCTTTTATACATTAATGTAGTACGTTTTACTGATAATGCTTTTGTACTTTTAGTCAAGTAAGATCTTGACTTTTACATTTAATGAAGTATTTCGACAACATGTATTGGTGCTTTTACTCAAGTGAAGCATCTGAATACTTCTTTCTCCTCCTTGCACACTGATTGCATAAAGATGGGGGAACCATAAATGATGTGAGGGTTAGGACACATGCAACATATTTCACAGCCATTCTGTACATCATTATGATCCTTTGAGCTTGACAACGTTTTTGTGAACCATCCTGTTTTTTTTTTTAATGATCCTAAACGGAGACACGAACAATTTAAATTGGTTTATTTAGAAAGAAACAATTTATACATCTCTGTTTTTCAAGTTCCAGACTCTTTTCCATACCTTCAAATAATCTGTTCGTATTGAAATGCTTGGTTTTAAATATGGTTTTCATAAATAGTCCAAGACAAGGTTTTAGTTTCAGGTTCCCAGACTTATGTGTCCTTAACGAGTCAAACATGTCGTCCCCTTGGCCCTAAAACAACCTAATGACATCACTTTGACAGAAAGAGTAACAAGTTTCCCTTTTGTACGAAAACCTTTAGACGTCCCTCCAGATGTAAAAGATCACTGGAGTCTGTTTCCGTGTTTTCTCGTGACGCGGTTTGAGTCTCTTCCTGTGAGGATGAACGGCTCTTTGTGTCCCCGTCACAGTTTGTTGCACATCTTTGTGAGGCACCTCTGTTTCAGATCTGTGGAGGATGAAGAGGAGGAAGAGGAGGGTTACATCCACAGACTCATCCTTCATCCTTGCAGATATCTTTTGAAGTACTTAAGGATAAAATATGGGTTTTTATAGAAATTGACAAGAAAATAAAGCAACATTTCAAATGAAGTTATGAACCGTTGTGTTACTTTGAAATGTTTAGTGTAGTAAGTACCTGCAGCAGAAAGGTTTACCAGCACTTGAATGATCAAAGCGTGATCTTTTAAATATATTTTTGAATGATAATGTGAAAACTGTTTCAAAGATAAACATTCCCTCTTATTTCATGAATCATATCGCAAATGCAAGATTAGTCAAAATGATCAAAAGTACTTGTTTTTTTCCAAATCGTGCCTTACAGTGTAATATTTCTATTTTCTGTCATTAAACTCATTAAAGGGGCCCTAATCTGTTCAATTTCAGGTGTATATCAGTATGTAGTGTCTCTACTTTAAAGAGTGTTCTCCTGCTGATGTTCAGGTGTATATCAGTATGTAGTGTCTCTACTTTAAAGAGTCCTCTCCTGCTGATGTTCAGGTGTATATCAGTATGTAGTGTCTCTACTTTAAAGAGTCCTCTCCTGCTGATGTTCAGGTGTATATCAGTATGTAGTGTCTCTACTTTAAAGAGTCCTCTCCTGCTGATGTTCAGGTGTATATCAGTATGTAGTGTCTCTACTTTAAAGAGTCCTCTCCTGCTGATGTTCAGGTGTATATCAGTATGTAGTGTCTCTACTTTAAAGAGTCCTCTCCTGCTGATGTTCAGGTGTATATCAGTATGTAGTGTCTCTACTTTAAAGAGTCCTCTCCTGCTGATGTTCAGGTGTATATCAGTATGTAGTGTCTCTACTTTAAAGAGTCCTCTCCTGCCTGTGGCACCCCATATAGGGAGTAAATATAATTGTTCGATTTCCCGCAACAAGCCGGGCCTGCGCTTCGCTTTGTTTATTATCGCACGCAAAGGTAAAGTGAGATAGTCGCTCCTTCGAGGTGCCCCGAAAGGGTTGGACACCAGCTCCTCGACCTTCAATTTAACTTTAGAGGTCTAAAAGGGAGAATTAGCAAACAAACCCAGGGAGTGTGAAGGCAAAAGCGAAGAGTACGTGAACCTAAGCGATTCTGACCTTTGTCGGTTAGTCTCACTAAATAAAACCGTCTGACGGAAGCCTGACTTTTCCACAGACGGGCCGACTTTTCTGTGCTGCCCACGCCCTGTAGTGGTTAGACTCAGCCGGGGTTTTAGCAGAGCACACAGGCCCCCGGAAATCCCTATTGTAAAATTTGTAGTGTGTCTTAATAGGAAACAGTTTGTTTGGCTTTTATTAGGGTTTTATCGTAGAAGAATAGAGTTTCTAGGTAAAGTAACTAATGCCAAAAAGTCAAGAATTCTCTATTCCTATCCTTGAAAATAGTAGGACTTCCTTTAACAAAACGTCTCAATGTCTTTATGTTATTTGTCGTCGTATTATTTATTTTTTGGCATGTAATTGTTCACGTCACAAAAAAGTCTGTTTTACTCAGCTAGAAGTTTACTTTGTGTATAAAGAAATGCATTAAATATAATCTTTTTAGTGGTTGATTTTAGTCTCTCTATCTTTGAAACTTCGTTAGCGCCGAATAAAACCCCATTGTTTTGGTAAAGGACTAAGGCCATATTATACAAGGTTTACTCAAGAGGTCGATTAATGTTCCAGACTAAATAGATTGGTTGTTGAAGGTCACAACCCACCATCAAGAGTCAAGGAGAACCGTCATATGACATGACAGAACAAACAACTAGGGTCTTTACTCCTGAGTAGGCTTGTTTCGCGACCCTACGCAAGGGGTGACCGCCTGGCAGTACCCTAGACGGTGTCGTTTTGGATGTGTCTCTTCTTCTCCCTACAGGTCATACCAGAGACCTTAACCTAAACCCAAAATAACGGGGGAGTCAATAGTCTCCTCCCTGTAATACTCTGCCCCCTTCACTGCCAGTCGCCACTGATGAGATTGGTAGGTAGGTCGAACCTTTACCTCGCGACCTTTCACTGACCACTCTTGTCCCTTCCCTGTCCTTCACACTCCCATTACCGGTGGGCGGCAGTCGTTTGTAGTCAGTTCACCTTCATCGACTCCCAAAAAGAAGAGAAGTCTCTCGTCCTCCCGATTTACACGGCAGGCCACCTTTTGAACCGTGAAGAAAAAATACCCTTCAATTAGACAAAAGTAGGACTAAATCTTTAATTTTTCTCCGAGAGTCAAAAGAGAAGGACATTAAAAACCAAGATATCCCAAATCACGTACGTATTACCACGACGTTCCGATTTGAGTGTTTCAAGGGTCTTGTTTCACTGTAGTGATACATTGGTGAGG